GATTTACACCCTCGGAAACCCTGTACAGGGTCGCTATGGGTCGGAACCGACTCGAAGGCACTTAACAACAACAACAACAACTATTGTTAGGTACCATTGAGTCGATTCCGACTCTATGCACACAGAATGAAATACCTTGTCCCGCGTCATCCTCATAACTGTTGCTACACTTGCGCCTACTGCTGCTGCCACTGTGCCAATCCATCTTGTTGGGCGTCTTCCTCTTTTTCACTGACCCTCTGCTTTATCAAGCATGACGTCCTTATCAGGCTGTTCCTACCTGATAACACATCTGAAGTATGAGAAATGAAGACTTGCCATCCTGGCTTCTAAGGAGCATTCTGACTGTACTTCCAACACAGATTTGTTTGTTCTTCTGGCAGTCTATGGTACCTTCAATATTCTCCTCCAATACCACAACTCAAATGCATGAATTCTTCTATGGTCTTCCTTATTCTTTGTCCATCTTTCACATGCATATGAGGCTACTGAAAACCCCATGGCTTGGGTCAGGTGCACTTTAGTCTTCAAACTGGTATCTTTTGCTCTTGGATACTTTTGTTAAGCATCATTTGTTGTAAAGACAGTCCTTTCTCCAAGGACTTACTACCTTTGTTGATCTTAATAACCAGGTAAGTATGGATCTATTTTTGAAATCTCCATTCTGTTCCACTGAGTTTATGTGTTTATCCTTTTGTCAATACCTCATTGGCTTGACTACTATAGATTTACGTTGTCAGCTTCTGTTGAGTTGACGTCAGGTACAACAGACTGAAACATTTCCTTGTCCTGCGCCAGCCATCCCCATGATTGGTTGTGGATTGGACCTTTATGATCCATAAAGCTCATTAGCTGACTTTTTAGAAATAGATCACCAGGGTGTTTTTCATAGTTCACTTTATTCTGGAGGCTCTGCTGAACCTGCTCAGCATCATAGCCACATGCAAATCTACATTGAAAGTTGGGTGGTGACTATTCATGAGTTGTATGGATGGATGAGAACTAAACCTGGATCTCTATCGTGGGAGGCAAGAATTCTACCATGTAACCACCATCATCCCCATCCAAAGCAGATTAGGTCAGACTACAAGAACTGAAGAGATGTTTTAGCTGATGTCTAGCATTCAGAATTTGAAGTTTTAGCTCATCCAGATTACCAGCATCCTCAAACAAAAGTATGATACTCTTTAAGTGAATATAGTCTGAACTAAGTGAATTAGTCTCCAAGAGATCTGCATGATAAGATATACCAGAGGCTGAAGAGAAAGGGAGACAGGTAAAGCTGTATTGTCAGCAAAGAATTTTGGTTAAGTGCACTTTTGGTT